TCTTCTGAATAACCAAAATGCCCAGGGTAATGATATTTGGCCAGTAGCATGCTGAGATAAAGGGCTACAAAGTTTGTTTAAACGAATGACCTTTACCCATATTCAAGGTCACAGGGGTCAAATATGTTTAAAACGTTAAACAACTTCTTCTGAATAACCAAAATGCCCTGGGTGATGATATTTGGCCAGTAGCTAGCTGAGATGAAGGGCTACCAAGTTTGTTCAAATAAATGACCTTCACCCATATTCAAGGTCACAGGGGTCAAATATGTTTAACACATTAAACAACTTCTACTGAATAACCAAAATGCCCAGGGTGATGATATTTGTCCAGTAGCTAGCTGAGATGAAGGGCTACAAAGTTTGTTCAAATGAATGACCTTCACCCATATTCAAGGTCACAGGGGTCAATTATGTTTAAAAAGTTTCAACAACTTCTTCTGAATAACCAAAATGCCCAGGGTAATGATATTTGGCCAGTAGCATGCTGAGATAAAGGGCTACAAAGTTTGTATAAACGAATTTACAGTTAAATTAACGAGGTTAAAGCTTTGTTATAGTACTAGTACGAGGTTAAAGCTTTGTTATAGTACTAGCACGAGGTTAAAAACGTGTTTAAAACACACATTGTTCTTGTTAGGATCATTTTTATTTTATCATTATTCATCTTAGCATTACTTGATAACATAATGACAATACAGTAAATACACGACGGTATTGTCTTCAACATTTCTTGTTATATTTTGTCAATTCATGCAAACTTCCTTAGTTGATGAATAGGCATACATATTAAGACAATATATCATTAATAAACGCTGTACAACTCAGGCTGAATTTGAGTCATTTTCTATTGTGGGAATGCGAAATTCTTCATATAATAATACCATGTGATCCTACACAAATGTTGGTATTGTGTTATATAGATAAATACCGATCAATTTCTTGTTATACGTTTTGTAAAATGTCTTCGTATTGAATATTAATTGGCAAACAACTTAACTATGTACTGCCCGAAGACACTCAGTGGTGTAAGTTGGCGACAGATACAAACATCTCACTCAAAAGTTCAGGATTCGGTGAAAATCTGACAGGTAAGACTTATTTGTCTTGACTAAAAGGCCATCACTAGGATTAACGGAACACATATCAGAGCTAATAACAGGAATTATTTATATTTATTCAAAGATAAAGCATATAATTGTTAAACCTTTTTCACTTTTTCACTGTTTATTTTCTTCACCGTTGAATAAAGTTAACATGAATATATTAGGACAAAAAGTATGCAACATTATGCAACACACACTGTAAAACACTGGACAATATACTGGTTTATTTACGTAGAAAAGTTAAAATGCAGTAATTGGTTTCATTGTGTTTGCTTACGTGTTGTATCACAATCACGGCTTCTATAATAAATAAGTGACGATTAGTATATGTGATTCTCGTGATACTACAAGTGCATCAGTTGATCAGAAGTAATGTTAGCCATACAAACTGCTCGATACATGTAGAAATCATTCACTCTTCTAGGTAAAAATTCACTTATCTAAAAATATGTTTGTATTCTAAATAATATAAGATAATTAAACGACTATTTTGTAACACATCGTGTATACACTTATCGCAACACGGTTATAATAAGGAAAAAACACTATAAGTTTCAGGTATCATAAGGATTTAAAATAAAATGTGATTGAAATGGATATCATATAGCGATACCATCTGGGAATAGGTGTTCAGATGTACTTGCGTGAGGTGAGACTTCTTCCACACACTTCGGATGTGTTGAATGTGTCATTCATTCCATACAAATGCCTTAGAGTAATATTCTTAAGGTTCGATAGGGTACTTTACAATGACCATGATTTGCTAGCGCTGCAATGATGGTTATCTCCCCTGTTCAGTCCATTTATTAGAAAGAAAAAACCTTTCAGGGAGCATGAGGATCAGCGAATACAGTTTTTGATTTATTTTAATTAACAAGCGAAATCCAATCCCTCTCGTATTTCTGATAAATTTTATTAACATGTTTCGTTAATTCTATTTTCCTGTTAGTTATATTTCAGATGGAAACCATACCTATGCCGTTTCAAATCGTCGTAGCTTCTTTTTATTCACGGGCTTGCTCCGAATATCACGATTTCCGTGAAAAATTTCGAATGCTGACACACAAACTATCTACCA